CTCGCCGAATGCCCAAAACCGGCATCCTTAACAATTTGACGCGCTAGCGGAAAGAGTTCATCACGACGCGTCAACAGTGGTGGCACTAATCGACACAGCTGCGCCGCTGCCTCATTGACGCAAACTTCGTGCAGCGTAAGCGGCTTCTCTGGCCGACGCTTACAATCGAAACGTCCATAGATGGCCGAGTACTTACGTATCTCATCCATGCGTCGCGGATCATTCTCATTCATAGCGATCACTTGTTCCAGCTCGCGACTGGTACGTTTCTTCGACGTGTGTGCGCGCGGTTCGCGTTGCGGCAGTTGGCGTGCAATTTTCTCAGCACCTTGTGTTATGCGCGCCACTTGCATTTCCGTGAGCACAGGCGTAAGTTGTGGCGAGCTGGAGGATACTTGATGTGTAGTGCCAGCCGTACTGCCGGCACCAGTAGAGGCGCTTAGTATAGGCGGCGCTTGGGGCGTAGCGGCAGCAGGTAGGACAGTTGCAGGAAGTGGCATTGGGGTGTGTGGCTGGATGACGGGCACCGAAATCATAGGCTGACACATTTGTGAAATTAGGTGGGAGGATGTGGCGGCTAGAGGTGTGGGATTGAAGGCGGGTGCAGGATTGAAGGAGGGAAACGTGGTTCGTGTGAACGATGGCGAGACATCGGGTTTCATAAGGAGCGCTGGCGATTTGGTGGGGGTGTCGAAGAGACCTGTGAAGGCAGTAGAAAATAATGTGTGACACAGTGTTCGATGTAATAAAGTTCTATGCTTAAAAGTACCTGGTGTGCTAGACGTAGAACTTAAGGGACCCTGAAACAGCACTGGATTGTTGGCCCACTCGTGTAATGCTTTTTGTAGGCGTCGTACATGTAAAGGTTTAGAAGCCATACCTACTAGGGCCATGATTTCCAGAAATTCCTCTTCACCTGCTTCGTACAGTTGTTGCACATCATCACCGCCCATTTCCAGCAGCGTGTCGTAGTAGACAAGTAAGCTGGCACGTTGAAGTACGCGATAGAGTTGCGTTTCGGCCTCATTGTTTGGACGTGAGGTAGCCACCACTGTAAAAGAGAATAGACAAAATTTTGGATTACATATGGAAGCTTTACTGTTAGATATGTTACGTAGTACTAATAAGGAAATATATGCTAATAATCGTAAAAATTAAAAAGATGTGACCTTCAGGGTCCTTTCCGAAGCCGACATAGATAGACATAGACATAGACATAGAGGTGGGCGTAGACATAGACATATACGTAAACATAGACATAGACATAGACGCAGACATAGACATAGGCACAGACTTAGACATACACATAGACTTAGACTGAGGCATAGCCATAGACATAGAGTTGGGCGTAGACATAGACATATACGTAAACATAGACATAGACATAGACGCAGACATAGACATAGGCACAGACTTAGATATAGACATAGACTCAGACTGAGGCATAGACATAGACTGAGTAATAGACATAGGCATAGACTTAGACATCGACAAAGCCTTAGACTGAGCCATAGATATAGACATAGACATAGACATATTGAAAACTTGAAGATAACTGCACACGCCGACGTTATTGTAATAGCTATCTCAGGTAAACACCTCTCCACATTGACCGATCTAAAAAAAAATTTGTTAGCGAAATTAATTTCCTTTTGGGCTTTTAGAAAAATTTTGGGTATGCAAGTGTATTTTAGTATAATAAAATGCAAATTTCAAAAGGCTAACTATAACTTGGAAGACCTTAGATGCAGGTGAAATCAGGGATCTTCCTAAACTCTTGCGAAATTCGAAATCATTTTAAGAAAGATTGGAAGTTGCTGACCCTATATCGATGGCTGAGTGGAAGGTCAACCTATCTCGGCAGCCAGTTCAAAAACGCCCTATCTTAGAAAACTTTTAAAGAACGCCCTACTTCAGAATTTGATTGAAGAACACCCTAACTCAGACTTCGGTTGAAGAATGCCCTCGCTCAGCACATTTTCAATGTATTTTCGTTTGAGATAGGGCGTTTTTGAATCGGCAGCTGAGACAGGGTGTTTTTCAATCAAATTATGAAATAAGGCGTTGTTGAAAAATTTTCAGAGACTCAGCCATCGATATACGGTATCACAATGGGCCCTGTCTTATAGACGATCCAAATAACCTAACCTAACCTATTGCAAACTTCGCCCTTTCTGTATTTTTTTTCTTTGAAGCTGCACTTCTTCCTCGCGCAGTGGCCTCACTTATTCAGTTTGTTTTTAATATCTTTAAGTCTATTTTTTTTATAAAATTCTGAACCATGTGTATGTATAGCGCCAAGAGCTCATAGCCTCTTACCCATATATGTACATACATACCTGTACAAATACATAATTCAAAAATCCCAGAAAACTTCTCTGTATTCTTTCAACTTTCCTTCCTTATAATTCCCACATATTAAAGAGTTTTTTCTATCATTTCACTTTTTTTTTTTTGGTTATTTGCTCAAATCATTTTGATCAAACGGCGCAGCATCTTCAATAGTTCACACGCTTAATTTGAATGCACAAGCTATTTTTTCTGGCTTTTAGTACAAAAAAATATCGAAAGTGTTGAAAAAAGTGCAAAAAAAAATCAAAAAATACAAATATCGTCCTGTCTGCCTCCCTTCAGGTTTATCACTCTTGCTGCTCTTCATGCGTATCTAACGAGCAGTGCTGCTATTCACGGCGGTGATGATCCTTTTAATTTCATGTGTTTTTGCATTTGCTTGTGTTTTTTTTTTCTTTATACATGTATTCTCCGCTCAGCGCTGTTGCTTACTGAATTTGAATGAATCTTTAACACCCCGCTACACCGCTCAATCATCCACTACTTTGCATACAACAAACACAGCAAAAACGGGTTAAGGGTTCGTACGCATGCGCAATGCATACATATAGCGCAGATATTGTTTACGTCAATTTTGTTTGCGTGCATACGTGCATACGTACATACACACATTCATGTATTTTTTATGCACGTTGCACACCCATTTCCTCATGCAGATTGCTTTGCTGCGGTAAAGGTAACAGCGCGGTGGCGGCCGCTTGGGCAGTTTTTTATGTTAGCTGGCTTGGTTCGGGCTGGTCTCGTCTGCCCTGGTCTGGCCTGCCTTGTCTGGCATTTCAGTTTTGGGGGATTTTTTTCAGAACACACACACATACATACATATGTACATGTATGTATGTCCCTTTTTTAGTTTGCTCGCCTTTGGCTTGCTTGAAAAAGGGTTATCGTCCACATGTGTATGCACGTCGGCCGTCATGTCGGCTGAGTCCTGTTTTTTGCCTATCAGAGAAACGTTTGTTTTTTTTTGTTTTGCAACACACAGTCTGTGTGTGCTACTAAGTTTGGCTCAATTCTGGCTTTTTTGCATTTTTTTCTTATGGTTTTGAAAGTGTTGTGGGAATCTCATTAATGTGTAGAGAATCTCATTTGCCTTGACAAGTTATTTTTTATGCAGTGCAAGTTTTTTTTTTTTTTTTTTTTGAGGAAGAAACATGCTTTTTATTTTAAGCTGGGCAACAATTTAAAAATAACGAGCGCATACAATGTTTGAAAATAAAGGGTTAAAACGGTGTTTGCTTTTTGCTATTCTCATTTATTACGGATTTAGCTGCAATAAAATTTACATATTTTGTGAATATTTTATAAATCGGCAATAAATTGAAAATTTTCACATAATTTTAATTTATTTAAATTTCGTCCGCTTGACTTCTTTGGGAGCTAAATTATGAGTTGTTTTCAATAGTCGTATGCCATTGCTAAGTATTAACTGTTCACGCCAGGTTGACATAGCTTTTGCATAGCTTTAATTTATAAATATATTTTTTTTAATATTGTTAATGGAATATTGTTAATCAATGCGTTAATATTTTAATTTAAGAATTATCTCGGTATTCAGTGGCAAAAATAAAAATAAAATATTTGGAAAAAACAAAAAATATTGTTAGTATTTTAGCCTATTGATGCCCGGTTTCACCAAACTTATTTAAAATTGATTGATGCAACCGGGCATGAGTACCCCAAATTGCATAAAAAAAAATTTTGGAAATAAATTTAGCAATTTATCTTTTAATATCTAACAAGTTAAAAAAATATCCTTCATTAAAAAGTAGGTGGCAACTCTATTTAGAAAACCGGCGGGATGAAGAGTACTATTGTGAGTGTCTTTATGTATGCAAACTACACACTTACAAAAAAATCTCGTTAAAATTATAAGATAGAAAATTTATTACGAAAAATTATATACGATTGAAAAGGGTGGCAACCCTATACAAACATATTTCTGATTTGAGGATTTTTAAAAAACTTTATAATTGATAATAATGTATTTTATTATAATTAATTTGTAACTTATTTCGAGTAGGTGGCAACTTTTGTATGATTGTTCTCGTAGATAACACCTTTCTAGATAATTTTAAGTACAAAACGTCATTGTCTAAATGCAAAATTTCATCAACATCATCAGAGGCATTTCCGAAAAACTTTTGGATTTTACATGTACTCGTACATATACATATGTACATTAGGTTGCATCAACGAAAAATGGGCGGGTTTTCCATCGAAATGATAAAATATATTATATTTTAAAATTTCTGCTCTGATATTTCTGAAAAATACGAAGACTTACGTGAGCTAGATCAATTTGAAAATAACTCAAAAAAATCGATCACTTTTGCATAATTTAAGTATGTTCCGGACATCGGTTACTAGATTGCCATGGTTGTTCTTATAAAAGTTCGCCTTCGTTCTGAAACCTATTGCAGTAATGGTTTGCCGCGTGTCTATAGCCTCATACTTGCTAGGTCTGGACACTGCCACAGAAAGTCTTCGACTGCCGTTTTTGAGCCCGGCTCCTCGCAGCTAAGTTTGAAGTTATTGAAGAGCAAGCCAATCGTTTCGGCATGTACCATACTGGGCCAGTGCCCTGTGCAGACTGAAGTGAGTTTGTAGGTATTTGCTTTGCTCATTCCTAAAAGAACACTGAATTTAAGTGGGTCGCAGAATATCCCGAAATGCTAGGTATTCTTATAAAATCCTGTACGATTCCATCTCTGTCTAGCCCTCGAATGATAAATTCGGACAATTCTCTGATGTTCTTTGATCTCCCTGATCGAGGCGCCCATGTCCATCGCGTGGGACACATTCAGTGCGGAGCCGCACCGCACAGTGGTTCGGATCGCAAATCTAGCTGGACGAAACTATTTAAACAAATACTCGTTGATGGATCTTTACACCACTTCTTACATAGGGGATTTTTGGGTCGCTAATTACGAATCTGAAGTCACTTATCAAAAATTAAAAATGGCGGATCCAATATGGCGGACGAAAATAAAAAAAAATCGGTAGATTTCTATGAAACTGGGTATCTGGGGGTTTTCTGGGTCGCTGATTACATATCTAAAGTCATTTACCAAAAATTCAAAATGGCGGATCCAATATGGCGGACGAAAATTTAAAAAAATCGGTTTCTGGGGATTTTCTGGGTTGCTGATTACGAATCTAAAGTCATTTACTTTATTTACTTCGGAACGAGTATTTTCATCACATATTTCTTTCAATTTACTAATCACATAATCACGGAAACCTTGTTGTCTTTTAGAAGTTACAGCCACACTTCTCCAAATGTCAAACAACTCACTTCTTAAGATTTTATTTACCATGACTAAAATTTAAGATCACAGCAAGAAACACAAATAAATTTCAGAAAAAATTTTATAACAGCGCTTAAAGATGTGCATACCTGTTGTATAATTTTTTAATTTCAGAAAGGAGAAAATTCGCGAGTTACTATTTTTTTTAACTCTTACATAACCAAAGTTTTTATAACTCCAAGTATTTTTCTGTTTTAACATAATTGAATTTTGAGATTTGACATACCGTCACTAAAATGTAAATATCTAAGGCAATTGGTTAGACTTGGTTATCGAACTTACCCTCTGCATTTGCGAAGGTGTAAAGAATAATATGCAAGTGGTTTTATAACGGCCTTCGGCGGCCTTTACTTTTCCTACTCTTTAATTTATTTTTTTTATTAATCAAAAC